TCTCTTCAGCTTCCTTATTTTCCATTATTTTGTCTTCTATGTCACTGACTCTCTCTTCTGCTTCGTTTATCATCTCTGTTAGAGCCTCCATTTTTTATTGCATCTCAGTAATAGCATTTTTAATTTTGGCCTGATTGTATTTTAGTTCTTTTGTTTCTACAGTAAGGGATTCTCTATTATCTTCCATGCTTTTTTCAAACCCAGCTTGTATCTTTATAATCATTTTAAGTTCTAGTTCAGACCTGTTACTTACATCCATATTGATTAAACCCCTGGCAGTGAGTGCTACCTCCTGTTAAGTTTCTCCAACTCATCATTATGTCCAGAAAAGAATAGAAGAGAGAGAAAAGACAACAATACTTCCAAAAAGTGGCTGCTTTTCTATTTGTAGCATTGCAGCATTTCTTTTATCACATCTCCAGTTGATATTGCAAGTGTTCAGAATGATTTGATAATTATCTAGCTGAATTCCAGGGACAAAACAAACATAGGGTCCTCTCCTTCTCTGCCATGTTAACTCCAGAAGCCACATCCCATTTAAAATATTTTTTCATATTAATGCATCATAGCAATGATTATTCAACAGTTTTCTTATTTGTACAATATGGCAGTAGAACTAATTAGAAGATCTGTGTGATTCCTTCTGGTTTGAAAGTTTTTATTTCTGCCGTCACTTTAATATTCATATATATATATTATTATTTTGTTTCTTATTTCTTTCCCTACAAATTAACACCTATTGGTTGCCTCTGAATACAGATCTTCCTCAACTTATGATGTGATTATGTCCCAATAAGTCCATTTTAAGATGAAAATATTGTAAGTTGAAAATACATTTAATACACCTAACCTACCAAACATAGCTTAGCCCAGCCTACTTTAAACATACTTAGAACACTTCACATTAGCCTGCAGTTGGGCAGAATCATCTAACAAAAAGCCTATTTTATAATGAAGTGTTGAATATCATATAATTTACTGACTACTGTACTGAAAGTGAAAGAATGGTTTTATGGGTACAAAGTGGTTGTCAGTATACCGGTTGTTTACCTTTAGATCTCATGGCTGGATAGGAGCTTTGATTGCCGCTGCCCAGCATCATGAAAATGTATCATCACATATCACTAGTCTGGGAAAAGATAAAAATTCAAAATTTGAAGTGTGGTTTCCTTAGAATGTGTTATTGCTTTCACATCATTGTAAAGTCGAAAAATCGTAAGTTGAGTCCTAAGTCGGGACCAGCTGTAATGACTTTGGTTATTTGGGAAGAATCCCCTGAATATAGTTCAGTGCTTTTTTACATAACTGCTGTCTACCCAATGCATTTTTCACAGATGCCAATTCTGATTAGAAACAGGTTCTTGGAAGTATTTTCTAACCTGAAAAGTTTGCTCCATTCCTCTCTTTTGGTTTCACTTTATGTTAATTCAACTCTGTTTAGCATCCTCCTTTCTGCTTTCTGGGGCTCATTTCTCCAAGCCCACACTTGCAGAAAAGTGGAAATGGAGATTAACTGGTATTCATCTCTTTAGATTCCCCAGTTAGAGTTTCTGCAGCTCAGAAAAGAGATGAGGTATAAGGACCTTGAAATTAATTAGAGCAAATGACGAAAGAAGAACTGTTCTATGAAAGATTCCATTCAATTTAGCTGTCAATTCAGTATTTTTTTTTAAGATTTTATTTATTTATTTGAGAAAGAAAGAATGAGAGACAGAGAGCACGAGAAGGAAGAAGGTCAGAGGGAGAAGCAGACTCCCCGCCGAGCAGGGAGCCTGATGTGGGACTCATTCCCAGGACTGCAGGATCATGACCTGAGCCGAAGGCAGTCGCTTAACTGACTGAGCCACCCAGGTGCCCCTCAATTCAGTATTTTAAAGTATATGTTATTTCTTACCACTTCCAAAGTTGTGATTAAGTTAAATTAAAATAGAGGAATTATTGAGTTTGTTACTTGTCTCTTATTTTGCCTAACAGAGAACATAAAGCCAGAAAGAATTTGAAAACAATTACCCAAAGGATTTACATTAAATGAAGGTATGATTTGGTATTAACAAGGCCAAGAATCTGTATGTTATTAAGTACAATAATATGACCTTGATTGAAAAAAGAGATACATTGTAATCCACTGCATAGAAATAGTAAATGGAAAGCAAAGTTAAGTAACTTTTAGATCAGGTTTAAAGCATACTTTACGTGTGTTGAAATGTATTTTTTAGAGATTCATGGAGTTTAGGGAAATTCAGATGGAGAAACAGGATTGAAGACGGGAACGTTTTGAAAATAGAGGTTGAGGAGAAATGATCATTTAGGAACATGTAAATAGGTGGTAGATTAGTGTCTTCTGTCCTGTAGTAATATTACAGTGCAGATGAAAGCAGAGGAAGTAATGATGTATAATAAAGAATCTGACCTGGCCCAAAGAAAGGTCTGGCCTTTGCCTGCAGCTTCTAGGAGGTAATCTATGTCATACCTCATAGGAATATCTTTGTTTAGGGTGAGAGCCAGTCACAATGGATTTTAGGGTGGGGCTGGCCACACCTGGCAGTCTTAGCCATGCCAGAAAAACCATATGATTTAGAGCAAGGGGCACTGAGTCAGCTGGGATCAGTCCACCTGGCAGCTGAGATCAACCACCCAGGTAATCACTCAGTCATACCCGTGTAATAGAGCCTCTATAAAATCTTTGAACGCTGAAGTTCGGGTGGGTTTCCCTGGTTGGCAATACTCGAGGCATATTATCATACACCGGTACAGGAAAAGTAACACATCTTGCCTCCAGGGGGAGAAGACACCAGAAGCTATGACTTTGGAACCCTCTGTGACTTCATCCTATGTGCTTTGCTTGGCTGATTTTAATCCATATTCTTTCCCTGTGATAAACCATAACCATGAGTATAACAGCTTTCCTTGAGTTCGAATTATTCTAGTGAATTATCAGACCTGAGGGTGGTTTTCAGACAGACCTCCCCGCTCTAGATTTATACTCAGGGTCTTGTCTTGTAGAGCACTGTACCCTCTAGTCTGCAGTTTGGCTATCTCCAGGCAACTGACCTGAAGACAGGCTGTAGCCCTGACACCTAGTGGCAAAATCTTAGAGCTGTGAGGTTAATACAGATCTGTCTCAAATGGAAAGCAGTTGCGATCATTGTAATTTTAGCAATAAACAGCCCTGGTTTTCATTAATCAGATCTTTATCTATTAAACTATTTATTGAGCCAATATATACAATGAACATGATCATATTTATCCTTATAACGAGTCTAAGGGATATTTGCTGCACTGATACAAATTCACTGCTGACGTCAAACTCTTAAAATTACAAAACTCAGAAGTTGCTTAAACACGTAGGCAACTAAGAAATAGGACAAGTCTGTTTCCTTAATTGTGGCATGCTTTATAGTTCTTTCTTTCTTTGCATATAGCCTTCCCAGCATTGGTAAGTATTTCATAATACTGGACAGTTACACTTTTTAAAAGAGGTCTGGCCAGTTACAATGTTGGGAAGATTTCAGTGTCATGGTTACTTTGCAATTGAGTGTAACAATCTTGGCCTTGGTTGTTGACTGGGCCTTGAGAATCTCTGATTGTTTCTTAAGAAAGTTTTAAATTCTATTCAGAAGTTCTCTTTTGGTCCTTATGGCTTCCAGGAAGAACATGGTTTCCAGGCTTAGCAGTTTTTGCTTCCTGGCTTACTCTGGTCTGGTTGTGTCTACAGTCGAATAAATGTCCTCAGTTTATCTGATGGTCACAGGTAGTGGCTGAAGAAGAGGAGTATGAGTTTGTTTTCTTACAAAGGTAAATATGTTTTCTCAAATTATGGTCATTTCTATAAAACTATCAATATTGGGAAATGAGCAAATTCAGAGAAACCCCAAGGAAGAAAAGCCTTTTTCTAGCAGCCCTGGTTTTTTGGGAAACCTTTAAGCAACTTGTATATATTTTAAAGAAAAATAATCTTTTAAAAGACTGTACAAATAATTTTTAAAGACTCCTTCCTGAATTATTTACTTAAATATAATTTTAGGGTAATTTAAATCTTTATATCCTCCCTACATAGTATGAGCATTTTCCCCTTAATGAATTAGGAAGGAAACTGATAAAATTTATGATACTTAATATCATGACTAGCAAATAAGGGTAAATTGATGAAATTTTTAAATTCAGACTTTTATTTGTGGCTAATATTCTACTGATATTTTGTGTATTTCTTTCTTATATTAAAAAAAGAAATTTCCCCCACACAGTATCAACACTAGGGAAAGAAACAGAAACAGCTCTTAAGCTACCGGACAATTTGTTTTAACATATGAGAGAACAGTCCTGTTTTATTAATCCTATAACAGGATTTCCTCTTATCTGTTCTTCATGCTTATTTGCTGTCTTTTAATATCTGTCCTCACATTTAAAAAGTTTCAAGGATTAGATTAAGGGCCTAAAGTTTAAAATCACTGGAGACTTGACTGAATTAAAGTGTCTGCACTTCAGGGTGGGGGTGGACAGAGCTCAAATACCTACAGCTAATATTTGCACTTAGGAAAACAATGCACACGCGTGAGGGATGTAAACTAAAACTCCCAAGCTTTATTCAACAGAGATAACACAAAATTCAAAGATTGCAGTACCAGAGTTATTTAAAGCCATGTCAGCTTTAAAAAAATGAAGATGGTTTCGGATTAAAAGGAATTAATCAATTGAACATTAAAACTGTATAAAAAAAAGGCAGCGTTTGCACATGGGTTAGTAACTGTAATAATATTGCTCTTCTGTCCAAACCACCAGAAGATTTTATTAACATACATGACAATAATTTGACCTTGACAGGAGATAAATATGATGTAATGGTGTTTTCCTCTCTGTATCTTTTTTCCATGCTTTTTGGGAAAATGAAAACTTTTAATCTAACTGATTTCAAGCATGAACTTTTGAACCAGATTACCTATTAAGTCCTGCCTTCACTACTTATTAGCTGTGTGATTTTAGGGAAGATATTTAGCCTCCTCATTTTCCTCATCTGTACAATAAAAGTATACCTAATTCATAAAATTATATCCATGAGTGAATACATGTACAGCACTTAGAAGCATATCTCTCATGCAGTGCTAAATAACTGCAGGGGTCAGAATTTTGGAAATTTGGCAAAGGGTACACTGTTCAAAAAACAGAAATAATCCAAAAAAGCACTTAAGTTTATCAAGCATTTGGCCTTTTTTAGAGATTGGTAGGAGTGAGCATCCTGTGCAATTATTTTTTTTTAACCAAAGAGTCCTTGTCTTACAGAAAACTAAAAATGATACTCTTGAAAGCTTACCATCTCCCTGTAACTTTTACTATTAAGAGTTCTCCTTTAGAGTGTTAAATTTTTTAATATGCCTGGATCCTGACTTTCTCTGTCCTGGCTTATACTGGCCCTGCTGCTTTCTACAGCATCCAGACACCAGGATGATTATACAACAGCAAAGAAAGATGACAGAGGTACAGAGGGCCACTGGAGCCAGCCACATCTTTGAAGTCACAGATGCCCATTCAGGTGTCATATCTTCATTCTCACATGTGTGGTTTCTGCTGTTGGACCCCTTGGTTTTGTTTAGTAATTGCTTGCTACTGTTGACTTGGGATGGAATAGGCCTATGAAAAAGTTTCGTGTCTATGGGAACAAAGAAAGGAGAAATAGTCTTGTTATCTGGGTTATTGATGAAATCAGTGCTGTGTGACACCATATTTAACTCTGTGGTAATGGAGTCATTCAGGGAAACGAGTCTTGCCCAGGAATCTGTGGTTAATTCCTTGGAATACCTGGTATTGTTTGTGTTGACAAACAAATCTTGATGTGGGGTTGATGATGGTGCCTCTGTTGATGGTAGCATTTGATTTATCACAGTAGTTTGTTGTTTATCTAAATGTGTAGTTTTTAAAATCCTTAGTCTGTCCCATGTGTTAGATGAAGAACGGGTATTTAGATATGTGGGAGGTGATTGTTCAAAAATCAGCAAATCTGGATCTATACCTGAAAGATAAATAAGGCATCATTCATTTTATTTTTTATTTCAAGGAGAGAACTTAGAAGAACAGATTGGAGAAGTCTTGGGTTTGCCAGTGAGTTAGTGAACTAAGCTTAAGTTCAAATTCTATTGCATACTTCTAAAAAGGCTTAGAAACATACTGACCACATTTGAATTTATCTTAACTTTCTAGAACACTTTCTGTTATAAACAACTTTGGCTACAACATAGAGGATTCTTTGTGTCCGCTGGGCTTTTGGGTAACAATAGCCAATGTTAGTGCAAGAATTGCAAAAGATAGTAACCATTTGAGATATATAGCATCTTGAAGTTCTAAAAAATAAATAATACAGAAGTGTAACTGTATTCAAAATCATGAGCAAAGCCCTCCGTCTCCTCCCTTCCCAGTCCCTGGGGGTCCTGACTTTGTCTTCAGTATTTTCTCTCTTGTAAAGGAGCTCCTTTCCCTCTGACTTCAGACACGTGCAGATATTGCTCCATCTGTAAAGGGGAAGAAAAAACCCCTCAACAGCTTTTCAATTGTCTCTCCTGTCAGTTTCTGTCTCTCTCCCTCTCTCCTTCTAGACACACCAACATCCATTTCCTTTCTTTGTTGTTTGCCTTCTGCCATCTTGTTCCATCCTTGCTATATTCTGTCAGAATTATGTTTCTGAGGTAATCAGTAGTTTCCATATTTCCTGATCAGCCTCATTGCTTTGACTTCTCTTTTATCCTCAATACTGCTGGCCATCCTTTCCTTAAAATTCCCCCTCTGTAACTCCCTGGAACACAGACTCTCTTGGCACTTTACCTCAGACTGCCTGCTTCTCATTTTTTTCTTTCTTTAGCTCGTTCTCTCCTTGATCCAAACTGGTTGTGTGCTTTCCACAATCTTTAGTCCTTTGTCTTCTGCTGAATTTTCCCTTCATCTCACCCATTCACCACACACACATGAGTATCCTCATCAACTGTCACCACCTACATCGGTGACACTGAAATCCACATGACCAGTTATTTCCTCTTTCTTGGTCTCCGGTCTCATTTCTCCTGTGCTCTCCTGAGGGTCCTGACATCTCATGTCATCACTGAACATTCACAAAGCCAAAATCCTTTTGTCTGGCTCTCTGTCTCTTTCAGTGACCTCACCAATTTCCCTCATCCATGCTGGAATCGGTATGTGTGCAGAGGAATCGTTGACTCCTCTCTCTTCTTTTCCTTCATCCAAGAAGTAACTAGGTCCTATCCAGTTCCCTCCCAAAGTGCTGGTAGTCATCCCTCCTCTTCATTTGCAGTTATGGTCACCTTCTCCAGATCTAATGCCTCCCTGACTAGATATTCTAATTTGCATCCCACATATAATTTTCCTAGACTAAAGACAACCACACTCATCACTTTAATGATGGCATTTTCTCATTAAATGCCTTTGTTGGTTCTCTATTGCTGACAAAGTCAAACCAAAACACTGCTCTGTCCAAAGCCCTTTTGTAACCTGGCCTACCCTATCTTACCCAGATTTTCATTGCAACCCCAAAAGTGCCCCTTTTGTAGCCAGACCTGTTTTCTTACTTTCCAGCGGTGTGACACAGAACTCCTTATCTTGCCTCTGCCAGGCCTCTTCCACAAAGCTGCCTCTCAATTTTGCTTTCTTTAGTCTCCTCTTCTTTTGAGTGCTTGTACTTGAGGCAGTATCACACACTCTGGTATTCAATTACACATTCTACACTAATTGTGAGATTTGTCACAGCAACTAGATTGTAAGAAATTCGAGGGCAGAGATATGGCTGCCATCTTCTGCAGTGCTGCTCCCAGCCTGAATTAGATGTTCAGGAAGTACAAATCGATAACGAAATTTATCACCTTTGTATTTGGATGGCAAAAATCTAGTCTTTCGGTGCGCCTGGGTGGCTCAGTTGGTTAAGCGACTGCCTTCGGCTCAGGTCATGATCCCAGGGTCCTGGGATCGAGCCCTGCATCGGGCTCCCTGCTCGGCGGGAAGCCTGCTTCTCCCTTTCCCACTCACTCTTCTTGTGTTCCCTCTCTCACTGTCTCACTCTGTGTCAAATATATAAATAAAATCTTTAAAAAAAATCTATTCTTTCATGTTTACCAATTTGCAGCCTGAGTTTATATACATGGGCAACGGACACTTGAGTGTATTTATCTAAAATAATGGATATCTTGGTTATCTTGGGACCATTGGTATGCTAATGTATGTTTGTAAGTGCATTTCCTTGTCCTTGACATCCATCTTTGTAGAATCCTTGTATGCAGTGTCCATGGACCTCAAAACTTCCATTGAGCATTTTCTTTATCCCTGGTAGCACCCTTAGCCCCCGCGGTAGAAATGCCTTTTTTGGCTCTTGCTGGGGGCTCCTGGAATAAATGTAATGCTTAAGCTCTTCTTCAATCACATACGATTTGTTATCATCTGGAATGAACTCATCATTGCCGAGCATGCCAAGCTAAAGCGAATTTACTTTTAGTTTTCTGCCCTGGATGCCCAAACCTTTTCCAGATAGAGATCGCTGGAAAATAATGATTCAGGTTGTTGCCAGCCAGTTTCTAGCGTTATACATCTCTACTAGAGCATTACCAACATTCTTCAACATAAATACAAAATACTTAAATCATTACCTTCTGTTATGTTGTATAAAATGGCACTGGTTCCGGGCTCTAATATGCAGCTCTCCAGCGTGGGGCAGTGAATATGGAGGCAGTTGACATTGTCATGAATAGGATCATGGTAGAAGACAGCCACGTTACAGGAAACTAAAAGGAAAAGTGCATCTGCAGATGGTTTTGGTTTCTCCCAGCTTGATGAGCTCTGAGTAACTTATATTTCTTTCCCCCAGAACATTGGATTAACAGCAGTATATTGCAGGGCTATGTTCAGACATCTTACAGAACATTGTGAACTACAGTAACTGGTTTCCCTGAATATGGAAAATGCCCTTTTAAAAGAAACTATCCACTGGTTTTCTGTAATCTTTCACACATTCCATTCCACACAGGATTACCTGGAATCATTTTCCAATCCCAGTATTTTATGTTCATGAAAAGTTCAATTGGCTACAGAAGCCCCTCGGGCTTATCAGATTTATAGTTGCAGTGCCCTCTCAGAATGCTAAGGCACTGGAGTTCACCAGAGAAAGAAATACGAAAATAAAGTGACAGATGTTGTAACAAAAGAGGGAGTCATGGGAAGGCAAAAACTGCAATTACTGGGAGAGGCCCAGATGGTGGAAAGGCAGCAGGCCAGGTGAACACTACCCTGATCCTGATTATAGGGGAACACTAGTCCCATGTTGCAGATCACACATCCAATGAAAAGCCTATTCAGTGTCCTTTAAAGAGGAAGAGAGTCTACTGACAAGGATGTGAGCATTTGGAATTCTAATGGGTAGGGGTACATCACTGATGCCATCCCCCTTCTACCAAATAAGTTTGCTCCATAAAATGGACTATGTTATTTCTGGAAAACCTGAAGTGTGATTTGCTGAGTGCCAGTCTTCAGTCTGTCCTCCCTAAAGTGCAAAACAGGCTTTCCTTCTGCTGCAGTGTAGCAGGGACCATGTGCTGGGAAATATCCATTGACCAAAGGTATCAACTTCTTTAATAAAATAAGATTACAGAGGAATAGCATACAATTACCAGACCTCAGAGTATGCCTAAAGCTGTTGTGGAATTGTGGTTGGCAAAACCTTTGTTGCTTCTGTGTAAGGTTAACTGTGGGGAGCTGCATTCCCCCCCCCGTTACTTCTGGGGCGTCCAGGAGAATAAAGAAGAGGGCAGAATTCAATTAATAATACATTGCTAATACATTTTAGATTACAAATGCTTTCCCTAAAGACTGGGCTGTCAAGTTCAAGGGAAAGGACTAAAAAATATTCAAATTTAGACATCTAAATTTTTGATAAGAAAATAGTTGCTGTAAAGAGAGCAATTTTAAAAGATGTTTTATATTCCTCTTTGTGTACACTTTAGAGTTCCAGTTCCGAACAGGTTAGCTATTGCAGGACTGTGGCTTTTTAAAGTTCTGGCTTCCAGCTAAAAACAAAGACGTGTGTTCGTGCCCTTTCTTTTGGAGGAAGAAAACCACAACTTGGAAGCTACAGAGGCTCTAAAATCATGGAATTCTACTGGATGCTTATAGTATCCCTGGAAGTCGAGAGAAAAAAGTTTCCCTGTGATGGACAGTCAGGTAAATTGATGCCATGGGAAAATGCTGAAAGGTATCCCCCCCTCACCCACCTTCCTCAAGGCTTATGGGAATTAGAAGCATCTCTAAGGTGAAAATCTGGATTGGCAACCTTTTCAAAAAGATTTCCCTTTAGGGGCGCCTGGGTGGCTCAGTCAGTTAAGCCTCTGCCTTCGGCTCAGGTCATGATCCCAGGGTCCTGGGATCGAGCGCCACACTGGGCTCCCTGCTCAGCGGGGAGTCTGCTTCTCCTTTCCCTTTGCCACTCCCCCTGCTTGTGTGCTCTCTTGTGCTCTCTCTCTCAAATAAATAAATTCTTAAAAAAAAAATTTCCCTTTAATAAATTAATTGTTCCCTTGTGTGCCTGATTAATTTTTGAGGGCTTAGCCTGGGGCAGCTTCTCACACTGTGGTCGGTTTACACCCTCCGGTAGCCTCAACCTGCATCCCAGAAATCTTCCATGCAGACTTGGATAGGAGGCACTGGCAATTAATAAGCTGGTATCAAACCATGGAAAGAAAGTGTGGAAGAACCAAGAGAATTATTTTAAAGTGTTGTGTTGCTTTTTCTGTTTCTTTCCAAGTAGCTTTAAAGTCTTGGAAAAATGAAAAACAAATGAAAGAAGCCTTTAGACAATTGTAACTGGAAATTCTGCAATAATGAAATGTTTTCCTCATTATAAGCCTTGATCATATTACATGGATGATGCTCTGGTTCTGGATTTCGGACAAAAAAATTTGGAATATTTAATATATATATTTCTTTTCTTTATTTTTTGCTATTTGACATATATCTACCTATGTCTTTCAAAACATCAGTCACAGTCGAAATTCCTGCTCAGTGCAACCGCATTTGCTCAACACAAGCAAGCACATTTCAAAAATCTGAAATACCAATATCACCAAAAGAACTTTGAAAAGGAAATTATTATAAATATTTTTGAAATCAAATATGCCATATTTGGGGACTATGGAAATATTGTTAGTTAACCGTCGAGGAAATAGTAGCACCTCAGTGAAGAGACGAAGATTCTCTGTTACTTGTAGGCCCCATGGCGTTCTGGATCATTACCAGATTTGTAAACTGTGCCAGCACTGATCCAAACGCAAAGTCAGTCTCAGTCTCTCTCCCGCTCTCCCCCAGCCCCATGTCTCTCCCTCATCTTCCCTAGTCCTGTTCATCTGTCTGTTCACTGGAACCTCTGCCTAGGGCTCCTTACTTAGGTCTTCATTTTATAAGTTTCTCCTGATTTTGCGCAGGCATATCATTAATACTTACCATCCTTCCTAAGGCAGCAGCTCCTGCTGCATTTCTGGCCGGTGCTTTCAGAATAATATTTCAGGAACTGAGCTCCCAGCGTCTGAGACTCCTCCAGGTCAATCAGAAGCCCTGGGAAGCGACGGATCCAACAGTCTCTGTAAAAAATGGTGGGTGAGCAGAGAGAGTCTGAGGTCCGCCCCATGCTTAGGAGCAGTATCAAGGCTGTTGCCACCACCACCACATGCATTTCCCTGGTAGAAAGACCGGGCAAGAAGTTCGAGTTCCAGACAGACGCCGAAGCTGACCATCAGGGTTTAGGACAGTTTCTGGAACTTCGAGACTGTTGCTAAGGGACTCTCCTGGAGGGTCACCTTCTAGAAAAATGAAGCCATTCTTTGACTGCATAGTGATTTTTCTTTTGTTTCTTCCCAGCTGAGCCCTAGGTGAACATTTGACTTTCTGATGTTAATGCTGAACATTTTCCGGGCCATTTTGATACACTGTCCCTTATCCTCTTGAAGATACGGATTCTCTCCTCTTTTCTTCTTTTTCTGAAAGTGAATAGTCACAGACACCTCTTACTAAGTAAATATAAAGACAAGTGGAAACCCTAGCCAAGAGTCTTTCTGAGGAAAACAATTAGTCACTTGACGTCAGATAAAGGAAGGATCCATTTCACCAGAAACAAGACATGGTTTTGTAAGGGGCTGATGTATGGTTTCAAAGGAACCTGTGACTGCAGATTTTTTTAAATTGTCTTTTTTTTTTTCCTGTGAATTTAAGTTCTGGCATTTACATTCACCAGAGAACCAGTCTGTGCACGAGTTTAAATTTTTTGTATTTACTAAACTGAACAAAATAACCACAAAAAACCTTGAAAGTAAATGAAAACTGAAAATGAAAAAAAAGTTAAATTTTAATTTTGCAGTGATTTTGAAAACACTGAATGTGGATATATGGATCCTGGTCACTTCTTGGAGCCAGGCATTTTTCTTCCCCCCGACCCCCCGCCCCAAAAGGCCAGCCACAGCAAATGAAAAGCATTACAGTGAAAATTGTGAAGAAGTTCAAAATGGGTGCTATCTAATCTGTTTTCTGAGATTCATGTTTGCAAGTTATAAAGGATACTTCTTTGTGAAGCGTATACAAAAAGGCATAGTATCTCTGATTGAAGCAGAAATAGTTGCTAAGAAACGTGTATTAGAGAAATGATGAAATGGTTTTAAATTTCTAAATATTAATAAAATCACTTCAATTGCAATGCCAAAACATTTGAAAAGATACTAAAGGAAGCAAAAATGGCCTCTCACTTTTGTGAAGATTGTCGTTTCTATATCCCATGATGATGTCCAAGATGACAAATTAGTTCAAAGCATGAAACTGTTGCTTTTTTGTACCCATTTTTAGAGCAAGCATAAGTGAAAATCAGGTTTTGGCATAGAGTACGGCTGAACTGCTCTTTTCAAAAAAAAAAATTTTAAAAATGTTTTTTCTAACCTGTGATCTGGGTTTCTTTCATACCTTTTGCACAATGACTCATTCACCTGACACAAAAATGTTAACATTTTTTGAATTCAAAATTCTTTGAATTTTCATTTTCCCACCTGTTTCATAATAATAGCCTATCACATATGCTTTGATTTTTAGACATAATTTAATCATCAATAAGAAGAAAATATTCAAAAGGCTGAATAACTTTAAAAACAAAATATTTTACTTTCTCCTAAGCAAAAATTATAACATGGATTAACTCCTAACCTTGCATAAGCCACATAAAATACACTAAAAATGATAAATATGTTATTCTATTGAACTTCTCATAGAAAGCAAGTTTCAGTTGCTTACCTGCAAATAATCAGACTATTCGATCTTCCAAGGGGAAAGGGAAGAGAGGTTTCCTAATGACAAAGCAAGCAACAGGTGAGGAACAAAAGATTACTCCCTGTTTCTCAATGAGGTTCCATAGAGATTGCAATTAGTTCATGCCCTGCGGACATAAACCGGAAAGTCGGCTTTCTAACCTTCTAACCTCCGTGTTTTTCAATCACAGTAAATGCGTTTCTTTCCTGTGATATATAATTCCTTGAAGTTCTCATGTATCCTGCAGGGATAATGGAACAACCCACAATTGCTTAATCCTTTTGCTGTCAAATGGTGTTCAAGTAAAGATCAAAGTTGCGCTTTAAAGAATCTCCAAGTTCCGATGTAAAAGCATGCTTTAAAAATTTTAAAACAATTTTTTTTTGATGATTGCATAAACATTCAGTCTGGAAACCAGGAACTTCCTGCAGCCAAGTATTTTGAAAAGGAGAGATAGAAACTGGACTGCAGGGGCAGAGGGAGGAATCCACAATGGGCTGAGATTTGTGGCCCAGAAATATCCAGTCTCAAAACTTGTCCAAGTGAGATGAAATTGCAGAAACCAGAAAGCAATTCCAACTCTGAATAAAAAATTGCTATATAGCCTTTGTATAGATTTTATCAAATATTCAGAACCGTTACACTATTGCAATGCAGTGATATATTGTACGTATTTCCAACTGGGTGCTCTTGAGAGGGGTTCACAAATTGGATTCTTACCTTAAAAATCTGTCTTCTCTTCCAAGAGCCTGAATCAGTTGCTCTAGTGTAGGAACCAGAATTCTCCTAATTGTCCCAGGTGATTTACTAAGATGTTTGGAAAACACTACTGATGTAACACTGACTGAAAAAAAATAGAAGTTTTGCTTACATGAAGATGCTCAATCTGAATTAAATATAAGGCATTTTAATTTTTTTAAAGATGTATTTATTTGAGAGGGAGAATGCACACATGGGGTGGGCAGGAGAAAGAGGGAGAGGAAAAACAGACTCCCCGCTGAGCGGGGAGCCTGACCTGGGGGGGGGTGTAAAGTGGAAGGGGGCTGGATCTCCTGTCCCAACCCAGAGATCATGACCTGAGCTGAAGCCAAAAGTTGCATGTTCAACCCACTGAGAACCACCCAGGCGCCCCTGAGCCATTTTTAAAGAACTGTGCTACTTTAAACTCATTTAAATTGTCCCATATGCTTTCATGAAAGGAAAATATTTCAGTTTTGCTTGTTGGAAAGGAAATAATTTTTCTTAAAATGTTTTGCTTTTTATTAAATTGATGTATATTTCACTTTAAAAATCCAAACTGTACAGAAAAGTACAAAAAGAAATAAAAACTACAGTCCTATAGTCTTTTTTTTTAATAAAGATTTTATTTATTTATTTGACAGAGAGAGACACAGCGAGAGACAGAAGTAGGGGGAGTGGGAGAGGGAGAAGCAGGCTTCCTGCCGAGCCCGATATGGGGTTTGATCCCAGGACTCTGGGATCATGACCTGAGCCGGAGGCAGATGCTTAACGACTGAGCCACCCAGAGGCCCCTACAGTCCTATAGTCTTAACACTTTTGTTAACATCCTTCTAGACATCTCTGTAAAAAATAGATACATATATACCATTTTACATACATGGATTCATACTGTTCCAGAAACTGTTTTTTAAAGATTTATTTATTTTAGAGACAGAGAACACGAGTGGGAGGGGCAGAGGGAGAGGGAGAGAGAATCTCAAGCTGACTCCACACTGAGCACGGAACCCACTTGGGGTTCGATCCCATGACCCTGAGATCACGACCTGACCCGAAACCAAGAGTCTGATGCTTAACCGACAGTGCCACCCAGATGCCCCTCCAGAAACTGTTTTTTAAAAATCCAGTGTAAAATTATATTTTTCAGGGTTTCTGAAGAAAGATCTACATGTATATCCAAAGTTGTAATGGCTCTACAGTATTTCATTCTACACATGTACCAAAATTTACTCTGCACTTCAGCTTCCTCAGCTGTAAAACAGAATAAAAAAATATTGTAATCCATGAAAAGCACTGCCAATGGTGCCTGGCATATAATAAACATTCAGTAAATGTTAGCTACTATTACTATTAGACATTATGTGTTCCATTTTTTTATTATTAAAAGCAACACTGTGATAAACATCTTGTACTTAAATATTTTTTTTCATTCTCCGTCATAAGATGTATTTTCCATAAATTCTTAAAGAAACAGCCTATGTCTGACTCCTACTGTAGTCTTTTGTAGAAAGATCATAATATAAAGTGTCTGAAGTGAGTCATAGTACCACAAAGGCCAGTCTTTATTATTCATTGTTCAGTCAATAACAGATCTATAAAATTATACCACCAGTTATATATAAGCAATATTTTCATGAGGCTTAGAAATAATACTTTAGATCTTTTGTAAATGAGTTTATGTTGCTTTGACTTTGCATTCCCAGCTGAACAGAAAGCTTACTATGTGAGTTACAAAAGTGATTTGATCTTTTAAGATACTTCCGATCCTAAATGACATTATTATCATATCAGGGCCAAAAAAGCTTACAGGTTCAGTGCCCGGTATTGTCAGACTCACACCCCAGATTCCCTGCCTAAGCTAATCTTATTCTGATAATATTATGTGCGTGAATTGCCTTTCTGATGTGCATCATTCTTTGAGTGTGATTTTTCGGGTCTGTTTTTAGAAGGCAAGAAAATACCAGCCTGAGGCATATCTATGACGTTTGGAAACAAAAGCATCCATTGGTGAAAGAGTCTAAAAGGACAGAGAAGAGACTAAGAGCCTGTTCTTGGCTGACCCACTGAATCTGGCATTGTTGCGAATGGAGGTACAAATAAATCCCAAGTCCAAGCCTCTTTGATGGAGGGTGTGCCCTCCAACAAAATTCCCCCGCTTAAGGCCTAATACTGGAGGTGGTACTACTTTCCTAAAGAGGTTGCTAAATTCTTGGTCACTCCCCACCTAAGAACTTTAGAATGTCTTGACTGTACCCTTATTGAAAATAGAAGTGTGAGAAACTGGTTGAGAATGGAGTTTTATCAGTAATGATTTAAAGGCCAAGTGAAACAAGGCAAAAAGGTAAAAGTTGTTCACAGAGCTAAAAAAAAAAAAGATGAATGAAGCAGGTCATAGATCCATCCTTGTCTCCTTCACTTTTCTCAGGGAGGTCAGAATCTACTAGGATTTTTTCCTATGTCTTTAAAATTTTAGTTCCTTATTCATGGTGTTTTATAAAGAAAATAATGGAGGACAACACCTCACAATGAGGCAGCTAAGTTACCTAGTGAAAAGCACAAATTAACCAAAAAGGTGCTGAACGGATTTCATGCTTTACCAAGACGACTTTCTTCTCTGGTTTTTAACCCTTCCCCCTTCCTAAAGTAAAACGTTAATCAGCATTGTAGGAGGTATCTTGTTTCAAAAAGTGGAAATGTACTTATGAAGAAGGTGTCATTTAACAACTTGCCATTCAAGAAGACAGCTGAAGCTTGTAATAATAAAAATAAAGCCCAAACACATCTTCTCCCCAAGTTGAGGACTATGATAGAAGAATCTTGATCTGGGAAAATTTTCAAGGTTTTTTTGTAGGATAAGCGCCTGCTCCCTCCCAATCCTTATCCCTCCACCTACCCAAAGCTAAACTAACAGTATCCCCCTCACCCCCTTCTAAGATTAATTCATATCGCATGAGCAACACGAGGTCCTCATTATTTGGGGTGCGCTTTCTATGCATTTCTTTGCAACGTTCAGTGAGAGAAGATAGGGAAGAAGTAGTCCCTCCTTAAGTCGTCCTCAGCCGGCCGGGGGCATGGGCAGGGGAACACAGAGTGGCAAGAAAAGCCACCTCTGTAGGCCAGTATGACCAAAAGCGGCCAGACCTTCTGCCCAAAGGATCACGTTCGGTCATGGCTGGCCCAACGAAACTGAAGTAACTTAAATTGAGTTGCACTCCTGTCTTTCTTTTAATAGCATAAAGAGGATTAACAGGCCCCAGCAGCAAATACAAGCTCCTCTGCTTCCCGACCCTTTTCATCTGCTGTACTGTGCACCCCAGTGAGCCCTGCAGAACCTGCTGCCATCTGCCTGGACCTTCTTTCTGCAAGATGGCTCCTACACCATGACCATGGCGAAGAATCAGCTCTGGGTGTCACCCGTGTGTGCAGAGATGGCCTATGTGCCTCAGCTCCCCTGGGACACTATGCCGGATTGGGCTAGATGGGCGATCCCAGATGTGGATTTTGACTCCCAGGACCCCAGACTCCCTTCATCCCGGTCCCCCCACGCCTGTTTCTTCTTCTCTCTCTCTTCCCGCTTGTAAAGCAGCGTGGAAGAAAGAGTAGACTGGCTTCACCTCGTCTCCGGTCCCCCCCGCCCCCCTCGGCGCATCGCCGCGGACCCCGCAGGCCGCAGAGCCACTGCGCCCGGCGTGCGGGGGAGGCTTGCGCGGACGCGGCCACAGCCCGGGCGCCGGGGCCCGCAGCCCGCCCTCCCTGAAAGCCGGATCCCGCTCGCAGGTCTGGCGGGCAGCAGGGGTCCTGCGGGCGGAAGTGAGAGGCGAGGCGTGGGAGGAGGCTGCAGGCTGGGGGCTGGGATCCCCTCGGCGGCTGACGCGGCCCCGAGAATCCGAGCGAGGACGGCGGCCGCCTCCCGACGCCCGGCGCGCGGCAGCCGGGCCTTTTTTGGCGCTGAGGGAGAGCAGACGGGCAGGGCCGCCGCTTTTGGGGGAGCGAGGCTGAGCCGCCGCCCCCGGGACCAGGAGGAGGGGCTGCCTCGGGGGCGCCGCCGCGACCCAGATAGGCTGGGCGAACGCGGGAGCGGGCGGCGGCCCGTCGCCTCCCTCCTTCTCGGCGGCGCCATCCCTCGGCGCGCCCAACCCGGAACCCGGCGAGCGCGTGGGGGCGGGGAGGCGAGCGCGCAGAGCTGGCGGGCACCCCCGCGGCCCCCGGCCCCCCAGCCATGTCGGCCGAGGAGATGGTGCAGATCCGCCTGGAGGACCGCTGCTACCCGGTGAGCAAGAGGAAGCTTATCGAACAGAGCGACTACTTCCGCGCCCTCTACCGCTCCGGCATGCGCGAGGCCCTGAGCCAGGAGGCCGGCGGCCCCGAGGTGCAGCAGCTGCGCGGCCTCAGCGCCCCGGGCCTGCGCCTGGTGCTGGACTTCATCAACGCCGGCGGGGCCCGCGAAGGCTGGCTCCTGGGCCCGCGGGCGGAGAAGGGCGGTGGGGTGGAGGAGGAAGAGGAGATGGACGAGGTGAGCCTGCTGGCGGAGCTGGTGGAAGCGGCCTCCTTCCTTCAGGTCACGTCTCTGCTGCAGCTGCTGCTGTCCCAGGTGCGGCTCACCAACTGCCTGGAGCTGTACCGCCTGGCGCAGGTGTACGGGCTGCCCGACCTGCAGGAGGCCTGCCTGCGCTTCATGGTGGTCCACTTCCACGAGGTGCTGTGCAAGCCCCAGTTCCACCTCCTGGGGGCTCCTCCTCAAGCCCCCGGGGATGTCAGCCTGAAGCAGAGGCTGAGAGAGGCCCGGATGACCGGGACTCCCGTCCTCGTAGCCCTGGGGGATTTCTTGGGGGGGCCCCTGGCCCCTCACCCCTACCAAGGGGAGCCCCCATCCATGCTCAGGTATGAGGAGATGACTGAACGTTGGTTTCCGCTGGCCAACAACCTTCCTCCCGACCTGGTGAACGTCAGGGGTTACGGGTCCGCCATCCTGGACAACTACCTCTTCATAGTGGGCGGGTATAGGATCACTAGCCAGGAGATCTCGGCTGCGCACTCCTACAACCCCAGCACCAACGAGTGGCTCCAGGTGGCCTCCATGAACCAGAAGAGGTAAGCACCCAGCCGTGCTGCTTCTTTCCCGTTCCCATTCATTCACTTGCTCATTAGTTCATTCCCCTGATGCTTACTGGGCAGTCGCAGGAGGTTGTGCTGAGGTGGGAATGACATCTTCAGGAGTGTCGCTGGCCTTGACTCTGGCAAAGGTCCCAAGGAACTGAGAACTTGCGAGGAAGAAGTGGTCCCTGTGAGGTCAGCTAGCTGAGTAGTCTCCTTGCAGGTATTGTGCTTTGAGGCAAACTGCCTTTTATTTTATTTTATTTATTATTTTATTTTATTTTACCTCTCTCCCAGTGGGGGAAAAAAAGAGATGTCTGTGGTTTCCTAAAAGGATACGTTAAAAGAAAACTTTTTTTAAAGTTTGCTTTCATTTTTACCTTTTTTATTTTTTAGGCTCTAATCCTCATTACAGTGACACACTGGGCGGTGACCTGTAATGCTGTCTTGAGAAGATTTTGTTGTTGTTATTGACTTTGAAGCTTTCCACACTGGGGCCCCAATCTGTGCTCAGGAGATAACCATTAGAGTTGTACATCGGATTGCCTTTCTTATTTTGTGTCCTCTCTTTTGCATCTCCCTTCCTTCCCAGTTTCGTCATTGATCCAATATTTGAGTCTGGCAGTGGTCACCTACAGAATTAGAACATTTCAGTCCACCCAGACTTCTCCCTTCCCATCCTCAAATCCCTCCCAACATGCCCTTGGGTGACTTGAAGACAGGAAAAGGGGGAAGGAGAGTAGGGAATGGAGCTAGGAAAGGAAAAGGAAGGGGAAGAGCAGAGCAGATACAGGGAGAGATGGTAGGAAAGAAAGATGGTAGGACTCAAGACGGCCCGGAGCCATTCACACCCAAGTCGGGAGAAGAATCGGTGTGACCCACAGAAGGACAAGACTGCTCTTTCGTCTGGTCCACTTGTATCCATCTCAACCCCCACATGGGCCCTACTCTGAGTGTGGAGCAAGTAGTTGGGGGACTCACCACCAGGCAAAGAAGGTCGTAACAGGAATAGGAAGACCATTACACATACTTACTTGACTTACGGGTACCCGAGGCCAGGGGGGAACAGTGGCCTTATTTCTACGATAACATAAAATTCCTTCAGGAAAGTGTTCTTTTTTTTTTTTCTGATGATGAAAATGATACATAATTATTCTAGAAAAGTGGAAAAATGGAAAAGAATCAAGAAACAGACTATCACTCCTACTCCCTCCCTCACAGAGGCAATGCCGTGTGCAGGTTGGCATGTTTTCTTCCAAGCCCTTTTTAGTGTATTATTTATACCACTGAGATGATACTGTGTTTAAGATTTGGCATCAGAAGTGTTATTTTTAAAGCAAGTTCTAAGAGCTTTAATTGAAGTAACAAAGACCATTCAGTGGTTATGGATGGCACTCAGATTGGGGGTGGAAGGCCCAACAGGTTGTCACCTCTACACACATGTCTCCAGCTGTATCAACTGGTGCTCAGTAGGCTCTCCCCGCCCCCCATCCAGCTTGAACTCTAACACCTCACAGAATTCTTTTTTTTTTTTCCTTTTTAGAGAAGGAGGGAGGGGCAGAGGGAGAGATCAAGAGAGAATCTTAAGCAGGCTCCATGTCCAGCACAGAGCCTGTTGCGGGGCTCCATCTCATGACGTGACACATCATGACCTGAGCCAAAATCAAGAGTCAGATGCTTAACCAACTGAGCCACCCAGGTGTCCCCTTTTCTTTCTTTACAAAGCCTTGGTAGTCTTTTTTTCTTTTTTCTTTTTCTATATAGGAATATCCTTTCTGTCCTCGGGGGAAAAAAAAAGGTATTCAAGTAATGCATGAATACATGCTTAGAAAAATTGCGAATGACATGAAAAACCACAGAGTAAAAGATATGTGTATCTATTGATATATATTTATATATTATACATTTGTAAATATATGTTGTAAATGTGCACTTATATAAACATAAGTATGTTGATAATTGTTAGCTGGGAAAAATGTACGTATGCATGTACATGTAGGGGTGTGTATGCATCTTATATGTATTTTTACCTTAGAGTTGATTAGACTGTGCTGATTATTATGACCATTAATGTTTCCACTTGGAGAGTTTTTTCTATATCAACAAATGTAGAACTGTCTCACTCTTATTAAGAGCTGTATAGTACAGCTGTATAGTACAGCCTATGGCTGTACCATAATGTAATCAGCCCCTCCCTTATTCATAAGCATTTAAGTTGCTCCTATTTGCCATTATTAACAATGCTATATTGGGATGCCTGGGTGGCTCAGTCGGTTAAGCATCTGCTGTTGGCTCAGGTCATGATCCCTGGGTCCTGGGATCTAGTCCTATGTCAGGCTCCCTGCTCTGCAGGGAGTCTGCTTCTCCCTTTCCCTCTGCCCCTCCCCCCACTCATGCTCTCTCACTCGCTCACTCTCTCTCAAATAAATAAGATCTTAAAATAAAATGCCATATTGAACGTCTAGGCATATATGTGCCTATCTTAGCAGGCATATATCAGTAGTCCTATATGGCAAATTCCTGGAATCCCTGTATAGGTGGGCCCAAGTGTATATACATTTTAAATTTTGGTAGCTCCTGCCAAATTGCCCATTAAAACATTGTTCAGATTTCCTCTCCTATCAACAGTGTCTGAGCTTGCCAGTTTCTGTACTCTTGCCAAGACAAGATATTATCATCATTTTTTATTTTTACCAATCCAATGGGCAAACACTGATGTGACTCTGCTTGGAAGAGAAATTTTTCCTCTCAGATGTCTATTGGCCTTTTTGTATATATTTTATAAGTGGCCTTTGCTGATGAAAAAGAAAATTGGTTTATCTTTTTCATATTCTTTTTTAGAAATTCTATTTACATATGTAGAATTAATCTCTTGTCTCTTAGGCAGTGTTGCACTGTTTCCCCCCTGCCTTTATTTTACTGGAAGGCCTCAAAAATGAAATCCCTAAAGTGACCAGGCTGGTGAAGTCAATGAGTAGAGGGGTGGGTTGGAGTGATGATGAACCAGAGAGCTACCACCCCCACCACAAGAGGGCCCCTCCTCTCTCAGCCACAGCTCGTTGCTGCCCCCTAGAAGTGAGGAAGGGCATTGCCAGACAGCCAGATGCCCTGATTTATAAAGGCTGGCAACTTACTGCATTGAAAAAACCAACATCAACAATAACAAAGACCTTGCAGACTGAACAAATCGTGGGACAACACCGGCATTGTGAACCTCCAGTTTTGGACGTCAGGGTTATCATGTATTCTTACATGAAGAAATTTAAATGTTTTTGGAGTCAAATTTGTCATGTATATCCTGTTAGCTTTTAATTTTAATCTTGCACAGGAAAGGCTTCTACAAGTTAAGAATATACAAATATTCATTTGTCTTATAATCTATATTACTTTTATGGTTTTGCCTTTTACATTTATATCTGAATGTGTTTTGGGATTTATTTTTATGTAAGGTATAATGTAAGGTTATAACATGTTATCTAAATGTCCTGGTGGCCTCAATCCTCACTGTGATTTGTACAACCAGTTATCAGATGCTAATTTTCCTGTTTCCATATTGACAGATTGGCCATTCCTTTACCAATAGCACACTTTTAAATTATTGTAGCTTGGTAAGCTATTTTGTTGTCTCGTGGAACGGAGACCCATTTTTTTTTTCTGTTTTATTTTGATTCTCTTAGCTGTTCTTTGTACATTTTCCCCTTCAGATAAACTTTAGAATCAGCTTGGGGCCCCTGGGTGGCTCAGTTGTTAAGCGTCTGCCTTTGGCTCAGGTCATGATCCCAGGGTCCTGGGATCGAGCCCTGCATCGGGCTCCCTGCTCCGCGGGAAGCCTGATTCTCCCTCTCTCACTCCCCCTGCTTGTGTTCCCTCTCTTGCTGTGTCTCTTTCTGTCAAATAAATAAAATCTTAAAAAAAAACAAAAACAAAAAACTTTAGAATCAGCTTGTCAAGTTCTGTTGGAATTTTAATTGGGATTACATTGTATTTATCAATTAAGCTGGAGGAGGATTTATAGTGTCATAATACTTTGCAGCTAGAAAAATGGTTTGTTTTCCCATGTATTTAGGTCTTTTGGTCCTTCAGGAAAAGTTTATTTTATTATCTTTGTTATAGTCTGTATATTTTTTATTGCAGTTATTCTCAGGTATTTTCTAGTTATTTTCTTTTTCTTTTTTTTTTTTAAATAACTTTTGTTTATTTATTTATTTTTAAGTAGGTTCCAGGCCCAGGGTGGGGCTTGAACTCACAACCCTGAGATTAAGAGTTGCATGCTCCACTGACTGAGCCAGCCAGGCACCCCAGAGTTACTTTTTTTTTTTTCTACACAGATATTTTTACCCACCAAATTTTAAAATTGGATGCCATATTGGAATTTGTAACCTTCTTTATCTCTCTCGTACTTTGACTCAGATTTGACATCAACTCAACTGGGAGTCCCTTCCTGAACTCTCAATTGGACTAAATATTCAAATCCTGTGCTTCTCTAGCACACTCTCCACCTTGAATTGAAATTTTCTGCTTACGTTTGTTTCTCTCTCTTCCAATCAGGTCCAATTCAGTGCTTCTGTATACTCCTATTGCTAACATGGTGTCCAGTAAATAATAGATGCTTAAAATGCATCACTGTTTTGAATTATGGAATATATCATACATTATTGTAATAAAAGTGAATATATGATTTTATTTTTAAAAATGTAACATTGTGAATATTTTTATCTTGTAACAGTCATTATAGTTATTTAGAATAGCTGAAAAATAATAGGTAACATTTAATTGAACATTTACTCTGTACTAGGTACTGTTCTTACTGCTTTGCATGTATTATCTCACTTACTCTTCACAAAGACTATATCAGGCAGGTTCTCATTTTACAGAATCAGAAACTGAGGCATAGAAAGTTAACCAAATTGCTAAGGCGTGTAATGAGTAGAGTAACCAAAATGTAAATATCCATCGAATAGATATAACCATTTAGAGTATTTACAATTTGGCTTATAAACTGGCAGTGACCATCTTCATGTGCACTTTTAAAATTTTCTTAAAAATTATTTTCTTTAGGGAAGTGGAGTGCAAATACTTTGTGGTGCTGTGCTGCTTTTTAAAATTTCATTATGTGTGTTTCAACTTCACCACAGCCTTTATGTCTAGCATCTTTCTAGTCACTATTGGGCGAACAACAAAGACGACATGGTTCCGGTCCTCAAGGAGTTTATAATTGAGTTTAGATGATGAAACAAGTAAAAATGAAACCTAGAATGGGATTGTTCCCGGATAATGTGTCTAACACAGTTTCTGGAAACACCAGAGGAGACTTAGAACCTTGAGGAAAAGCAAATTTGGGCCTCTGGTTACACAGCATTTCACATCTACCTTGATTCACTGCCTTTGTGATGTACCTGTACTGTTTTACTTTGACAAAGCGGTCAAATGCAGAGCAGCCCACATTCCCCAGTGACTGAATCGGGTGCTGATCTCAGAATCTTAAATAGTAAGGGACAGGCTGGAACACTAGGATTGAGAGATGCTGTAAAGCCCTTTGCACCCTGGAGAAAAATGGTGCTATATGACCAATAATGCTCTCCCCCACCCTCCAAAAGAAAGAAGGGAAGAAAGAGATATTAGTGTTCTGCCCGCACACTTGAAAATAGCAGTATGAGTACATAGCAGTCTTTGAGAGGGTGCTTTGAAGTCCAGGGATGCAACACTGCCCAGTGGTCTGCATGTGGATTTGATCTCGGGAGTTGTCAGGACATAACTCGTCACATGTAGAAGCCTGTGTGCCCACAAAATTGCTTGCCTTCCCTCCTCATTTTAATTGGTGATAACTTGCAGGAACTGGCCACTATTGCAGCAATCCGTTCATTAATTTTTCCATTTCTGACGTCTCTCGTCTCTCTGATTGCCCGGCACTTTTGCTCTGCAATTGTTCTGTGTGTGAATACAGCAAAGCCGGGAGAGAGTTAAACAAGTCTCCTGGCAGAGATGGAATTACAGTTGTCAGCCTTAGCTGTCCCCTTTTTCTCTGAGCCAAAGTTTAGTATTTTAGGGCATTTCTAGAGTCATGGAACCCTCGAGAGATTTTTGTCCTTTCTGGTTAAGGTTGCAGTGGAGCCAGAGAATAGTGTGAAGGAAAGAAAATTATGTGTCTATTCATTAACCGCCCCCCCCCCCCCCCCCCCAACACCACCACCGCACTGCCTCTGATTTTGGCCAGTAGTTGCTTTGTGTGCTCTAGTCTCTCAGACACCTAGTAGGTAGCAACCTACTGGTCCCCAAGGGAGGTTAATCCATAGGGAAGGGGCAGAAGGTAGGCAGCAGAAGGGGAGGGAGGGGACACAAAGACCCCCGTGCTCCACAGACCTTACGAGCCTTTTCTGAGTGGTTGAGAAAAGATGTGAGAAAAGATCTTGCCATTTCTCTCTGATATTTACTCTAATGGCAACAAACTTTTCTATGTAGCAAGCTGTAACAATGGTTTCTATTTCTTGAGCTCTTACTCTGGGCTGCAGGTTGTAGACGCTGTTCTAGATGTCACTTCCTATTTCATGCACACAGCATCTCTTTGGGATAAGTATTATTGGCTCCATCACCCCAAAGGGGAAACAGAGGCTCAGTTTCATAAGCTTGCACAGTTATAGGGTCAGCACTTGAAGCCACTCAGACCTCTGTGTCACCTGCCACCTTACAATTGTATACAGCTACGCTTAATCTGTGTACCAGTGCTCAGCATGTTTCATGTCACTTGGTTTTTAAGGATTTACGGAGCTCTATTTCCTCGGAGTGAAGTAGTAATTAAATCAGCATCTTTTTTCCCCCCTCACTTTTATTTCTATTTACTGTAAGTCAAGGATATAGCTACAACACATCATTATTTGGTTTAAAAATTCTTTTTACCCTCCTGAGGGTATTATGTCAGGGATCAATATCAAGAAAACACTAGAGATGATAATTTTTTTAAAAAAATCAATAGCTTGGATTGATACTTTCACCATTCAGGAGGTGAAGAGTGAAAGAGTTCAGAGAGTAGGAAATGAGGTGCTACATGGTGAGAATTTATGGATGAGAGAGCACTTTGTATGTAATTCCAGAATACATTCTAGCCAGTGACTGTTGCAGTTAACAAATGAGACAGACTCAGAGTTAAGAAACTTAGGCTTATGACATACAGAAAAGCATTCCCTCTCGTGACCCCTTTCTGCAAGTGTTCCCCTTTTCAACTCTTACTGTGTGTGATATGTGCTTTTCCCCACTTCACAGAGCGGGAAACTTAGCCTCAGATGAACTGAGATTCAGTGACTTGTCCAAGGTCACATAACAGTTGGGTAGTGGGGCTGAGATTTCCCTGTATAAGCCTGGGCTCATAATCCTTAGTAGTATGCCTCTTCACTAAGTGGTCTGTTTTGGGGTGGCAATTTCATCTTCAACTCAATATTGAAAAGCTTCTTCTCTTCAAGTGAATTTGAGCATGCTGGGCTCTGGAGAGATGGAATTGTTTACTTTTAACTGCCTATTCATTCAGCCCTTACATGTTTACTTAGGACAAATGATTATGCTGGATGAATATTAAAAACTGTTTTGATCTTACAAAATTTACTATCTGTACCTTTGGGGAGCAAAAACAAATAGCGGGCTGGTAAAATTTAGTGCTTATTTGTAAGTTTTATTTCCTTTGGTTCCCCCAAATTTGCACACACAGAGAGGGCACCATGGTCAGATTTTAAGGACCATTGGCAGCAGGAAAAGTAAGCAACATGAAGCAGAGACCCCCCAGTAACTGCCACCCCAGCGAAGTCTGTTGGCATGAAATATGAATGTCTGGCTAGGTTTAATGGACAATATGAGGTTCTTGTTGAAGAGTGCTCTGTTCACTCTCTGATTGGAAAAACAAAACAAAACTGAGACTCATTTAAATGTACACATTACGGGCACCTTTGAAAACCTCTTACTGTTTTAGTAGCTGGCTATTCCCAGCATGTCCTGCATCACTGTGCGTCAGTGTTGATGAGACACACCTGTCAGGAGATCACACATGGACGACTCATTCCCTGTTTCTTCCTTATCTACCCTCTTAAGTGCATATGTGGCCTCCACCCCCATTCTTTCTTAGGGTATTGTTACTTTTGAAGACATTGTTATGTTGGCAGTGGATGTGGTCTCTAAAATTTACCTGGTCTACTTTCGTTATTTCAAATACTGGAAAACTCAAATTATCTTGATAGTATCTTATCTCAGTGTAGTACTTACTCATAAACTGTTGGCTGTAGTTGTCTTGACCATCCTGTGATGGTTATTATCCCCATACCAGCGATGGCAAAGTGGGGGTGTTTGGGCTAGGGTCAGAGAGCTGCTTCAGGTCTTTCTGTTGCATCGTGCTCTGCTCACAGTCCTGTAAACTTGGGACTGCTGCACCGATCAGGGAGACTGGCCTAAACATGTATCCTGTCTAGTCTTCAAGGAGTCCATTAATCTCTGTGCACTACATTGAAACAAATTAATTTTTTCTTTTCAATTCAAAAGTTATGAGACTTTAATCTAGCATCTGAAGCTGATGAGCAGTGTTTAATTGTATTACTGAATATGGGGCTTAAAACCAGTGTATTCTCTTTTTAAAATTATTTTCTTTATTTTTTTGAAAGAGACAGAGATAGCAAAAGAGAGCATGAGCAGGAAGGAGGGGGAGAAGCAGACTCCCCGCTAAGCAGGGAGTCTAACATGGGGCTCCATCCCAGAACCCTGGGATCATGACCTGAGCTGAAGGCAGACGCTCAACAGACTGAGCCACCCAGGCCCCCTAAAGTTATTTTCCATTATGATAAATGAGCATTTGTTGATTTAAGTATTTGTTGAGTTAACATGTGTAGACACCCTAAGAGTGCTGGATCAAAATATGTTTAGTTCAGTGCTTATGTAGCCGTATGTTACATGTTGTGAAACAATATAAAGATGCCCTCCTATGGAGTAGGGGAGGGCGGGGGGGCAAGTGATCTGCCTGGTATGCTTGTGGTAAAGGGGTCTTTGAACTACCCTTTGGCAACCACCCTTAGCATATGCCTGTCTGTGTAGGAGGTGCTAGTGTGTACCTAACACAGAGCCTACCCACTAGGTAGGAAGAATGGGAAGCATTCTGAGTAGAGAGACAAGGGAGGGAGGTGGTTATGCATTCTTCCCTTCGCACTTGCTCCCACTGCTGAAAGAAATATTAAGCCTACTATATACAAAATATCTTTGGTTCTTGGCATAAGGCTAAGCAAGACTACTCTTGGTTGTATTGAATTGCTTATCTCCAATTGCTAAAATTTGGAAAATGCATCATTCTTGTGAATTCTAGGGTAGGAGTAAAATTTGAGATATCATTTGGTCATTCCTCTGTCCCCAGGCAGAATGGCACCCAACTTGGAGAGCTAATTTTCTTTAGATATCCAGCACATTCCTCAATCTGCTTTAGCAGTTCATGCCATTGCCTTCTTGTCAAGTCAGGAATGTCAAGTCAATGTCAAGTCAAGAAAAAGTCAAGTTAAAAAAACTGACTCTCTGGGCCTTTGTATCTCCCTTTCAGGTCTAACTTCAAACTTGTGGCTGTTAACTCAAAACTCTATGCCATTGGTGGGCAGGCCGTTTCTAATGTTGAGTGTTACAATCCTGAGCAGGATGCCTGGAATTTTGTGGCACCCTTACCAAATCCTTTGGCTGAGTTCTCTGCGTGTGAGTGTAAGGGAAAAATTTACGTCATTGGAGGATATACCACCAGAGGTAAGTGAAGGGGCCAAGTAAGTGATCCTTTTCTATGTGAGCTTCAGCAGCCTGGGGAAGGGCAGGAGGGTGCCAAGGAAACACTCTGGTGTACATATTGTAATTTCATACATTATATACTGGATATTTACATATCTGGAAGGAAGAGAGTTGTGTATTACAGGGGTGGTTTGGACAGGAGGGACCTTTGATGCCTTTGTGTGAGCATGAACATTGAACGGAGTAGAGGATGCTATGAAGAGAATATGTATTTTCTTTCTGCTCTGGAAATGCAGCCCTGTGACCAGCTGTCTTGTGACTTGATTGGGTAACTGCCATCCTTCTCCCAAACACACTTAACACTATGGAATGTAGGGCCAGGACATCCTCGTGGATCTTTGTTTTCACTTTCTTCCTTCTTGAGCACAAACATATCAGACAGTTTCCAGAAACTCAGCTCGAGGCTGTTGTACACATATCCTAAGAGGTTTATAAGAGACATGAATGTAAGAGAATTCTTTCCTGACCAGAGGTGGGAGGCGGTTGTGTTATGTATTAAACTACTTTTTTTTGGTGGGTATTTGGTATTAATAATTTGGAGATAAGTTTCTCCAGTAGGTTTTATACTGCTGTTCTTGGTAGGAAGCATCTCACGTGATAGTGATAATAAACAGCTTGGTTGTGTTGAGAGAGGCAGGGGTGGGCCACCAGGAAGAGGTGTGTCTTTCCTTTTATCCCTCTCCCCCACTTGTGTCCAAGTTACCTCTTAAACAAAGAAATTTATTCTTTTAATTTTTAAAAAAGATTTTATTTTTTTATTTGACAGAGAGAGACCCAGCGAGAGAGGGAACACAAGCAGGGGGAGTGGGAGAGGGAGAAGCCCGCTTCCCGCTGAGCAGGGAGCCCGATGTGGGGCTCGATCCCAGGGTCCTGGGACCATGACCTGAGCCGAAGACAGACGCTTAACTGACTGAGCCACCCAGATCCCCCTTGGCCAAAGAAATTTATTTCTTAATTTGGTTTATCTGACTGAAAAATGCCCAGAACTTATAGAAAAGGTATAACAGGACGCTTAGGACTTTTAGTCACATTGAGGTAGTAGAGTTACCATTATATCTGACATAGTGAAATAACCTCTCTCTCCTTTATGGTACAACACGGGAGGACAGAGCTACTGTCCCGCTGACAATAAGTATGGAGAAAGGATGCTGATATGTAACTTTGTAAAGGACAGAAATCCACATGCTAATAGAGTGTAGGTGCCAAAAAATCTTTTCACCAAATGTGTCTTGTTTGGGGGATTTATGTTAGAGGAAGAAGTTAAATGTCAAGTGTTTTATGAGCATCCAATTTACTGTGTGTGCAAAAGATTCTGAGTAACACTTCTTAGAGTATCTCTAAGCAATTGCTGTGGTGGGGAGGATGGTGAGTGGTGTTGTAGTTTCCTGTGGCCGACTTAACAAACAACTACAGCTTGGTGGCCTAAGACAATATAAGTGTGTTCTCTCAGATTTCTAGAAGCCAGAAGTCTGAAATCAAGGTGTGGGAGGTCACATCCCATCTGAAGGCACTGGGGGACAATCCTTCCCTGCCTCTTCCAGCTTTGGTGGCTTGAGGTGCTCCTTGGCTGGTGGCTGCATCACTGCAGGCTCTGCCTCCATCTTCACACATCTTCTCCTCTGTCTTTTCCGCTTCTGTCTCTTATAAAGACACATTCCTTTTTGGATTTTAGAGCCCACCTGGGTAATCTAGGGTGATCTCATGTTGAGATCCTTAACTTCATGTCATCTTCAAAGCCCCTTTTTCCAAGTAAGGTCACAGTCAAAGGTTTTGGGGTTAGGGGGTAGATATATCTTTTGGGGGGCCACTGTTGAACTCAGTACAGGTGCTGTGTTTATGCATTTAAGGAGAGGCAGTGACCAAGAGGAGTGCATGGGAAGCAGTGAGCTTTTTTTTTTTTTTTTAAATACCCTCAGGTTTTCATCCCTGTGGAGCTATTCCCAGTGCCCCTCTCTAGTGACTTTCCACTGAAGATAAGGTAATTGCCAGCTTTTTTTGGTGACAAATAATTGAAAAAGAGAGAGAGAGAGATCTAGCAGCCATTTCTTTTACCTTCAACTTTGGTGTTTGGGTACAGTGGTCAACTTCATGTGCTTAATGAAACCATAGCCCCCAGAGAATTCCTGTGTGTGCATATGTACCTCTGTGTGTGTCTGTGTGCCTCTTCTCCTAGGAAAGTAAATACAGTTATTTACTTTTGAACATTTCTAAGAATTCTGATTCCTCCCTCGATTTTGTAACACAGAATGCACCCTGTGGGCTGACATAATGCACACATATCCCTTGGCTTCTCTTGTGACCAGAAGCTGGGAAGCACTGACAGGCAGCACTGTAACCCAAGGAGTACTCTGCTGGTAGATTTCCTAGTTTTTCCATGACCCTGGCTGAGCAAATGTTCTTTAGATTTGACCTGGAAAACCCTTGCTTGTGTGTTTTCTAGTTTCTCAAGCCACTACTAATGTACCTTCTTCACTTGGGCCACCCATGGTGATTCCTGCCCCGGATTCCCCAAGCCAAATACCTGTGATGGGATGGTTGGGTGATGTGGATGGATGGATGTTTGTGTAAGGGTTGAAAATGGGTTTTCTGAGATGAGAGGGCGGGACAGTTCCTTGTACTCTGAAACACCCCTCCTCTTCTGCGTGGGATCTTCCCAGCACTTCCTAATAGTTACCTGGATTTAAAATAAGGAATCATAATTGTCATAAAACAAAATGCAGGGCTCAAAGTTGGGTTCTTGGCCTGCTGACTTCTTAAGTTAGGTAGACTTTTAAAATTTAGGAAGTAATAGTTCACGATTTTTATGGTAGCTGTTTGACTATATTAATTCCATAGTAGGCACTGAGGAAATTAAAAGAAATTCAATAGAAAGCAATAGTAACCACTCAAGGGAAGAAGGGTGATTTGTTAAAGTTCAGAATCACCTCTCAACGTAAAAGCAAAAAGGTTATTCCACCAACTCAAACCACCTCATCATGGTCTGAGCCCTTATTGGATGAGGAGAGAAAACATTTACAGAAGACCTGGGAAGACCTTCAGACCTGGAACTGAGAAATACAGGGAAGCCTCACTAGAATAAGCCCTTTATTCGTGCGGTGGGAAGCCGGGTTACTAAGGAGCACTTTTTGATCAACTGGAACCAAACTCCCTTGGACTGTCTCCGGAATGAGTTTTATTACAATAGCTACAATAAAAAGAAATACAGGGAGGTATTAGTGTGGGTGGAAAAGAGAGGGACAGTTTCCTAAAGCTGTAGCAATTCTGAAATTTCTACAGGCATGGAGACATGTGCACACACAGGGTTCAGTCTCCTTTCTGTTCTTTCTGTGCCCTCTTGACTTGGTACCAGAGGTGGTGGTGGAGCTCCTTCAGCCTTGCTAACTTCGGGTGGGTCCTTTTGTGTCAGGAGGAAGCGTTGTACCCCTTAGTTCCATGTCTGTTCCCAAGCTGACTTTGTCTCTTATGCTGATGGATTTTGTTGTTTGTTTAAACAACAGCAACAAACAGAAAGTTCATTCTTTCTGATAACTCAGGGCATTTTTTTCTTCTGCTGAGGCTAAAATATGCCACTTATTCTTTCCTAGAGGAGAAGAGGATAAAAAAGAACAATTAAAAAAGGAAAAATGAAACTAGATACTTTAAATTTCCCAAGTGTTTTTTCAAAATGAGAGTAGGCAATATTTTTCCTTAAAGCAGCTATGAATTCAAGATAATGTTAAAGGAGGCTTTGATCGACTTTCTGATTTTATTCACACAAGAACTAGCCATTTCTTGGGAAGCAGGCACGGGGAGAGGGGGTGAGGGAAGGGCCTTTGTGAGTATGTCTCTGCTGTTAGAGTTGGGACATGGAATTGCCAAGTGATTCCACGGCTTGAAGGCCACAGGTGAGACTTTCTGGGGTTTCTCCTGACTTGGAATTGTGTGTTATTTCCTTTAGACTGCCCCTGAAGATCTTGCGTGGCTCATTTGTCTTATTTAGTAGAGTTGGTTGTCAAGAGTAGATCCCCTTGGGGCTCTGCCTGTCATCTGTATTAAGAAGTCAGTAATTCTGGGCGCCTGGGTGGCTCAGTTGGTTGGGCGACTGCCTTCGGCTCGGGTCATGATCCTGGAGTCCCGGGATCGAGTCCCACATCGGGCTCCCTGCTCGGCGGGGAGTCTGCTTCTCCCTCTGACCCTCTTCCGTCTCGTGCTCTCTATCTCTCATTCTCTCTCTCAAATAAATAAATAAAATCTTTAAAAAAAAAAAAAGAAGTCAGTAATTCTGAGCTATTGAGGAGATTTCCAAGGCTCTGATTCTTTTTACCCTTAGACTGGTGGTTCTAAAATGCTCCAATCACAGAGGACCGTGGCCTGGCCCTCTTGATTCTGAGGGCCTCCCAGGGAGGGGACACACCTGATGCAGATAAGGGGGATGATTCTAAACAGATCTCCTCCCAGCCATTTGGAAAACTGTTGTCCCAACCTCTGCTTCTCTGGAATAGTTTTGCCTCTGTGTGACCAGAAGATTTCAGGTGGGGGCAGATGTTTATCACAGCGTAGACGGGCAGTGGTATTCCTTGTGGCCGTGTCCTCATTTGGCTTCTTTCTTCCTTTCAGACCGCAACATGAACATTTTGCAGTACTGCCCCTCGGCCGACATCTGGACACTCTTGGAAACCTGTGATGTCCACATTCGTAAGCAGCAGATGGTATCTGTTGAGGAGACCATCTACATCGTGGGCGGCTGTCTGCACGAACTGGGGCCCAACCGGAGGAGCAGCCAGAGTGAGGACATGCTCACCGTGCAGTCCTACAACACGGTCACGCGGCAGTGGCTCTACCTCAAAGAGAACACGTCCAAATCAGGTCTTAACTTGACTTGCGCGCTTCATAACGACGGCATCTACATCATGAGCAGAGATGTGACCCTGTCCACCAGCCTGGAACATCGAGTTTTCCTCAAGTACAACATCTTCTCAGACAGTTGGGAAGCATTCAGGCGTTTCCCAGCCTTTGGACACAACTTGCTGGTCTCCTCTCTTTATCTGCCCAATAAAGCAGAGACATGACTGAACTGACTTAGGATTTAAAAGAAACCTGGTTCAAGGCAGAAAAAGAAAAAAAAATGTAGTGTCCCATTTCCAGGGAGGCCGATTTCTAAAAGGAAAACGTGGGTTGAAGTAGGTCACATGTACAATAGCTGTAAATAAGCTTACTTGAACTAATTACTTGAAAACTTGTGGAGAAAAGAGACCAACTTTATTATTTTTTTAATTATTGATTTTTAAATGATGGGAGCAAATCCATGATAATATTTTCTTCCAAATATGGTACCCTTGGGCCAGTGACTGAAACTAATCATCAAAAAGAAGATTCACTGTGTCTGCTTTAGTAAAGGGCCAAAGTCAATAGTTGACGTGAACGGTAAAGATCATTTTAAAATCCGTTTTATTTAGGTCACTTGAAATATCATTAATACCTTAAGGGAGAGATTTTTATTGTTGCTATTCATTTACTTGACAAACATTTATATTAACACTGTCATTCACCCCTTTTCTCCCCTATTCATACCCACATATACTTCCAGTGGTTTAAAAATAGGGTTCTATGTTTAATTATTTTATTTGCACACTGCTTTCCAGGAAATTTACAATGATGGAGCCCTACAGTGAGTCCTTGCAAGAATCCAGTCCTCCCAAAACCTTTTTTAAAAACATTCTCAGCTATTTTTCCAAACTTTTTTGCAATTATGTGTACTGAATAGACAGATGTAACCTCTTATTTCATTTAGGTGGCAGATTGCAAATTTATGTGGTCAGATAAGTTGCATTGCTGGGCATTCCGTATTGTTTAAAAGAGAGGATATATTGTTTAGAAGGATGGATATATATATATATATTTTTTTTTAAATCGAGTCTTAGATTTAAATGGGAAGGGAAGGGAAGACCAAATAAGAACAAAAATTGCCTTTAAGGTTACTTTTAATGAATGTATTTGACTTAGTTCTGTTTATAAGGTAAAAATAGATAACTTTATCACCTTTAGATCAGCCATCTTTCTAATTTAATCTTAGCCTTTTAATTCATGCTTTGCTTTTATGAGGGAAGGTGAGGATAGCTGTGGAACTTTGGTGCTGGAGAGGGAAGGAGCTCGTTAGAAGAGGAATGGCCTCTGGTGGTATCTTTGAAATTTGGTAAGGTGCTCTACTTGTCTTGGTCATTGAATCAGATGGAACCCAGCTCCAGCAGTAGTCAATAAGTCAGTTGACATGAATAAAAAGCTTCTGCCAATCCTAGCTCCATCCCTTTAAAAACGTATACTTACAGAAATGTTATTCTTTCTGAACTTCTCTGATCTTTTGTAATGGAATCAGTGAAACTGGGAGCTGGAGTCCATCCTTCTGCTCTAACACTCCAGCTACAGTGAGCCTCACTTTAAGAACGTCCGCAGAACAACAACAAAAAAAAGTGATCATGGCAAATCTGTGTGTCCCGCAGACAGTATCCAGTACCTCCTGTAGGCATTTGCTGCGTAGACATGGTGCAGAGGGTTGATCACTTCAGTGGAGTTCCCCAGGTTCTCACAAGGTCACTACAGGGTTTCTTGACAATCATGGCCTGCGAGTAGTGAAATTCAGGGTCTGGTTGTAAAAATTCTATTTGCACAACTTTTCAGGAATACTTCTATTAAGTAAATTGAGGCAAGCCTTTATTGTGCACCTGGAGACAGCTCTTGGATCTTGTCACCAAATAATCATATCAGTACTCTATTTACACTACTTAAGGGTTTCTAAGCCATACCCATTCGTTCTCAAATACTTAGCCTTTTTTTTTTTAAACTCTGAACTGAAATCTTCTTGGGGATGGTACTTTAATAATAGATTTATATTAATTTATATTCATTATGGAATTGAATTTCCAGTGACCTATAATTTCACTGCATATATTTAAAAATCTAATTTATTTTAGATAGTGTTAACTTTTATTGCTACAGATCTTAACTTTTTTTTAAAGCTTAACCTTGTATATTCAGAAGATTCTAGCCAGTTGAATTAGTTCTGGACAATTAGACCTTAGCTTGTAAATAACCACATCATATAAAATGTAATATTGTTGCTGCCAACCAGTTCTCTTCCTGATTACATTCTTTGGGTCTGTTTTCCTCATGCCAACAATTAGATTCTTGGACCAAGTGAAGGCATACTCTGATCCACAAAGCTCTTTTTATAAACCGGGTTTGATGTGTGTGTATGTGCTTATTATCTGTGTGTGTGTGAGTGTGTGTGCGTGTGCATGCACGCACGTCCTGGCATATTATATCTCTAAGATACACAGACTTCTAACAAAGTTTTTGTTACTCTGGACTGCCAGCAGTACTTGGGCAAGGCGGAATGTGCAATAAGAACAGATCTGTGGATTTGGGTCGTCATCCTTCCTGCTGTGCACATCAGCTATGTTGGCATTTTGAGGATAATTTTAATTTAGCTGTGTTCTCATGTTGGTGCCAATGTTGTAGTGAAGACTCTACCTATAATGAGGGAATGTTGTTTTGAAAATCCCCTGTCATCCCCCAGGACTTTGCTTTTTTTTTTTTTCCCAATTAAGTGTGTATTTTAATTCCAGTATAGTTAACATACAGTGTTATATTAGTTTCAGGTGTATAATATAGTACTCTTTGATAATATCCCTCTATTTTCTTCCTTTCTCTAAATGCTTCATCCTTCTTTTCTGACATGCTTCTGAGGAGTGCCAATCTCCCACTATGGTGAGGGGAGTTAACGGGAGGACCCCAGCTCGTGGGAGGACCCCTGCTAGTGGGAGCCACCTTGCCAGAAGCAACCTATTTTACGAAGAATGGTCTGAGTGGCAGAGTGAGTCCTGAGTGTGGATTGGTAGAGGGAGGTTGGTTCTCCCTGTCATTCTTCCTGGCTTTCTTCTTAACACCCTTGGTTTCAGAGGCCTCTCCCCTTAGCATCCTTGAAAGTTTTTCTGATGAAAGTGTAGGAGTTGATTATTTCGACAGTGTGAGTTAAGTCATAACAATGAAGTACTGAGAAGGTTATGGATTCTATTAAGAAACAAATAGATTAAGCATGAATACCAAAGAGAATTGATCTTGGCCATGTTTTTTTGAACCAAAATCCCAAGTAATTGCAAATGCCTTAGATGTCAATGATGTCAATTAAAGTTGTACTGAGATGGACAAAGCCCTTTCTCTCCGAAGGGAATTAGAAGGAAATGCTTGTTTTCTTTCAGTAAAGATTTACTTAATGAGCATTGTAAATACCATGTTTTCAGATTTCCAGGTAAAGTCATGACCATACCTGTTTGGCCACACAGGTAAATCGAGTGGAAAGGCCCTTGGCCTTCTTGATCAACCAACATCTAATGAGCAGTGGCTTAATGCAGAGCACTTGTGAGGCAGCATAGTGACAGGAAGGGAATATGGGTGAGTTGTCGGGATGCCTTTTTCCTAGACCAGGGCTGGGGAATATGTAACATGTGTGCCACCATTCTCTGATGGTGGCATCATGAATGAGTAGTACTCCTTTCCTCTGTGCTAGGAATTGGCCCCACAGTCCATGTCATCAGTGCTGCCGGGCATCCATTGCCCATCCATCAGAATGAGATGAATGAAGTCTCTTTCTCATCCTGCCTTAGACAGAGGAGTGAATGAATTAGGTGAGTAGATACCACCCAGAATGGCTTTGAAAGCACTGAGCTGATTCAGCTCCATTCCCTGGTTCCCAGAAATACTTACTGAAAGTCTGTTGTGTGCAGGACAATATTAAGAACTAGGGAGATAGACGTAAATGAACCATGTCCCTGATCTGGAAGAGCTTACAGCTTTGTAAAAATGTTTGCCGTAATCATTATAACCCATGTCCTCAAAGATGCTACCTTTGGCATACTGGGGCTTTCTGGCCTGGCCGTCTCTTCAGTCCTGACCCAATCTGTCCACTGCTTCATGATCTACTAACAATTCTAATGAACCAGCTTTTCTCTAAATTTGAACATCACAACCTATGTTTCTGTTTTAATGGTATGCTTTTTTTCTCACTACTTTTCATAGTCTTCTCTGTACTTCATCTTTCAAAAAAAATGATATGTGATCTGCTTTAAAGATAATTACTAGGCATACAGCCTATTTGGCTAAGGGCTCAGCAGCTTGATCCCGTGAGAAGGAGGAGCAAAGTCAGGGAAGTGAGTATTGGGGGAGAGGCGAGCTGTTCATGTGTGTGTTTGTACCTATGCCTTTAAAACACTTCCATAAAAAGCATTACTAAATGGTCATTAAGACACTAGTCCTGACTGAAAGTCAGTTGATGTTGCCTGTGTGATCACTATCAAAGGGTGGTTTCCTGTTCTTATGTTTCATTCATGTAAGAATATTTGCTGTTTTTCATTTTCTTGTGTTGATTTAGGAACACGATATAAAATACACACCAGTTGACATAATGCTAACTTCTGCACCTGACATAACTATTTTTATCCATCCCTCTAGGACACATTAAATGTAAAATATGGTCAATTTTGAGGAGCAAAAGGCCACTGAGATGACTTTGGTAGTGTTGGCTGGTACTTTCTCAAATGGATGTCGTAGTTTATTACTAGTAAAGAAAAGGAAAATGTAATTTGCATTATTGTGTCATTTTTCTAAGAAAAATCTTAGGGGGTTCTTTAGATGTCTCTACAATGTTTTCATATCTAGTGGTCATTTTAGGAAATTTGATAGTCTGTAGAATGAACAATTATGTTTTGTTATGACCGACACTTTGTTAAAAAGGTTGTATTGTGTCTTCAAGTGTGGCTTAAAATGTAAACATTATGGTATGATTCATTCAAATACAATGATGCCTATGATGCACTCACTCAAATAGCATTTGTTCTGTGTTTATAACTAGAACCATAGAAGAAAATCTCTTCAAATAAAATAGTTCAAAATCTTAACAATCCATACTGTTGTCCGTTAGGTACCATGTACCAGCTGTGTGGTCAGGGCTGTGCCAGAGCAGAGAGGACATGGGTCCCTCAGGTGGGGGGCTCCTGACTCACTGGGAGGGCTGGACTAGCATCTGGGAACCAACTAGAGAGGCGGTAGTCCTGTTGGAAGATGGGCCAAATGGGGTAGCAGAGAGTGCCAGAGCCTTTAGGGTTTGGAGGAGAGGGATCTGGGACAAAGATCTCTGAATCCTTAGAATTCTGCAGTCTCAATCCCGCCATTCAGTAATTACAGCCCACCATGATCTCTTCCACCCTGTTTTCTAATGTTTCCCACTGTTTCCTTTAAGCACCCCTCACTCCAGGAAAACTGGAACACACAACTCCTTGCCTTTTTTTTTTAAGATTTATTTATTTGTTTGAGAGAGTTGGGGAGGGGGAAGAGAGGGACAGAGGAGAGAGAATCCCAAGCAGACTCCCTGCGTAGTGCAGAGTCCGATGTGGGGCTTGGTCTCATGACCCTGAGATCACAACCTGAGCCAAACCCAAGAGGAGGCTTCACCAACTGTGCCATCCAGATGCCCCACAACTTCTTTTGAGTAGGGGGAGTAGCTGGGGTTCAGGGCAGCATCACAAAATGGGGTTCAGTTACTAGATGACATCCCATGGATGTCCATTCCCTTCCATCCTTTGATTGCCCCACGTGCAGGAACCCACCTGCCCACACATGCCCTCCTTATATGTACAATTTTAAGAATGATCCAACTTAAAACAGCCCTGCTACCTCATAAGAAACCCGACATACCCACCTTTACACCAAGGGAAGCAGTCAAAAATCAGATCCAGCCACTGCATCCAAAGGTGACATCACAGCTCCCTGCATCCCAAGTCCAGGGTTGTCAGGGGATGTCCATCCGGAACCCCCATGGGTGACCACTCAGTTCTGACAATCTGTCATGAATAATTCAGATTATTTCCTACACACCCAAGACACACGAAAACAACCACACTCAGCATGAACTGAGCTCCTACTCTGTAAGGAACTCTTAAGCATTTGTAAAATTGAACCGATTTCATCCTCACAACAATCCCATGTGGTAAATACAAATATTATCCCATGTTGCAATCGGGGAACCTGAGGCACTGCAGGTCACACATTCCTATTTGGGAAAAGGGAGAAGGAAAAACTGCAGTCACTGGTCCAAACTGTATACTTCTTCCTGCAGTTAAGGGCTAGCAAGAGCTCCCTGCTCCAAAGGTGGAGTGGGTGCCTGGTCAGCTAATCTGGGAACCCTTGCTTCTGCCTTGCAGCAGGATGTTCCGGGGGCCTGCCCATGCGGTAGCCCTCTTCCTATTGGAATGGTTATTGGAAGGGGTGATGTGTGGAGGGAACCTGAGAATTTCTGTAGAGGCTGGGGGATCCTCTCTTCGCAGGCCACTAACATTTCCTTGGCAACAAAACCCCTTTAAGAACCCGGTTAGAGCTTGGCTGATCTGGATCTCTGGCAACTCCATGCGCTAAAGGCCCAGATCTAGTGGGGCCTGGTTTTTTAACCTTGAAGCCCATCTTTGTGGTATCTGTCTTCCTGCCCATACTCTTTACCCCTAGCTTAATGGCTCCAATCTCTTCCTCAGCTTTGGGAAAACCTACAACAATAGGGGTCTGCCCTTGCCAGGGTGCATCCCAAGGAATGCTGCTTTCATAGAAATGCTTGCCTCTCTGTGGCAGGAGGTGTTTGGGAGGGGTTCTGGGCATGAATTCCCACTGTTTCTTTGCCTGTTCCGAAGGCCCAGTCCCGCTATATTTTCCTGTTTGTTCATGCACCTTTGATGGAAACAGAGGCTCTGGCTCTTGCAGTTCTGCGAGGCACACACTGTCTGACCCTTTGCCATTGCCTGGCTGCAGGCAGAAGGGTGAAAAGCCTGGGCAACAGAGGAAGACTGGCTGAGTCAGCTTCCCAGTTCTGCCACTTTCTAGCTGTATAGCCTTGGTCAGGTAACTGCGTCTCCCTGGGCCTTGGGGCTTTTTTTGTTTTTGTTCTTGTTTTTTAACTGTAAAGTAGGGATGACCACTATCTCTACTCTGTGGAATTATTGTGCAAATTGAATGAGGAAATCCATGTGAAGTGCTCAGTGAAGATGAGCTGTTACGACTACCAGAGCTGTTGGCTGTTTTCTATATACCTTCAAATGGGCTAGCATGGCGAGCAGCTTATGCCCTTCTTAAAATACCTACTGAAGCTATTGAGAAGTAGCTAACAAATTCCAACATCCTGATGTGTTTCTGTCATTTCTCCCAAAGAACTGGCTTGAAGGGTTTGAGTTCCAAGATAGAGCAGTATCATCAGCTACCTTGCTTCTCGCGTAAGGATAATGATGGGGAATCCTACCTATTCTGCCTCTCATTTTTACTTAGTTGGTCCTGTATTTCAGTGTTAGATAGTTGGACCATCCCATCCCAAGTACCAGACTCTTTATCAGGACTTTGTTGGGACCAGCTCAGGTCATGTGTCCATCCCTAGGGTAACCACCGTTGCTGGGGGCTTGAAGGGAAAGCTCCAGGCTCAACCACATGCTAATGGATGAATACCAGATAAGAGGGGTTCCTCCTGCCAGAAGAAAGGGGTGTCGACTGTTGTATCCTGAAAAGACCATCTGAACAATCTGTTGCTTGAGCAGAGCTAAACTCTTTATGCTTACTGCAGTGAGGGAGGGACATCACCTTGAGTCTTAGCCATGTCTCAGAAGGAGGACTTCAGGTTTTCAGGCCTGGGCTGGATGATCTTAAGGCAGATTTTGAGACTGGGCAGTTTATGATATGAGAGCTTTGGGCGCAGCACTTTGTGGGCATATTGCAGTGAGATCTTGCAGCTGGCCTTGATGAGTAAGCTGTTAGTCTTGGTGAAGTAAGCGAAGTACTGGCTCCATAGTGTTATGAAAGATAATTCCTTATGACAATTACATAATAGTTCTTGTATGTTTCTTATTCCTGTTCTAGATTGTAGTTTCCTTGATGATACAGTGTCGTATTCATTTTTTATCATCCTAAGTCAGGGAATACAACAAAGCCTTGTACAGAGCAGATGCTTAACATATTTGTTGAATTTGGAAGATCTTGAAGCCTAGTTGGGTTTTCTAAAAAGAAATCTAGGTTTTGGTGTATCCAGCCATAGCATTTCCTTAAAGGAATTAATTTAGTGGTTTTTTTTTTTTTCTTTTTTTTTGATCAGCAACTTTTAGTAGAAGTACCTTGCAGTGTACTTTTCTCTTCTACTAATGTACATAACCCATTAAACAGATGGGAGGAGTTTCAGCTTCTGATTGGAGCTGGAAGGGAAATTTGCCCACACACAGTAGTGGTGCTGGTACTTAGGAGCCCAGGAGCACTGCAGGAAAAGGGGGATTGAGCCCCATCACTTTGTTATCGTCTTGTGAATGGAATAAATATCAGGGCTTGAGCGATAGTATTGTCACTTAGAGAAGTGACTTCTTTTTGTAATATCTGAGTTGAATGCTACAAATACACAGTTTCCGGAATTTGAATACTAGATGGAAAGAGAAGTAGAAAACTAGACAGATATTGTTGCTGGAAAGTGTGTTGACTCACTCAAAGAGGGCCAGTTTCCCAACTGCAGTCTGATTCTGCCCCCCGCCCCCACTCCCCCCACCCCGGGGCCTGGGAAGGGCTTGCTGAAGGGTGAGGAAGTCCATGGAATGGAGAGTGTACTGCTCACATCATGTCCAGCCCTGGCAGATGTCAAGGTGGCACTGGGTGGAGGACAAGGGATCTAAGAAGAGATACTATGATACAAGCAGTGTGTGGCTACAGGTGATTTTTCTCATGGTCTGGTATGTTTGTATATGTTTGCCTGCTTGCGTTATTTTATCAAAGTTTCTGCCGCTGAAGCAATGTATTTTTGAAAGTCTGGGGAGGGGAAGTATTGTATTAGTTTCCTAGGCTTCTATAAAAACATCACAAAGTGGGTAGCTTAAAGGAGCTGAAACTTACTGTCTTGACAGTTTGAGGCTGGAAGTCCAAAATCAAGGTTTCAGTAGGGCCATGCTCCCTCTGAAATCTGTAAAGGATTCCTTCCTTGCCTCTTCCCAGCTTGTGGTGGTTTGCTGGCAACCTGGGGCTCCTTGGTGTGTAGCTTTATTAATCCAGTCTCTGCCGTCATCCTCACGTGGTATTCTCCTTGTATTTCATGGCCACCTTAGGAAGTCACCCTGGACTAGGAGCCCCACCCCGCTTGAGTGTGATCATACCATAACTAGTTACAGCTGCAACAACTCTACTTGCCAAAGAAGCTCCATTCCTTGGTACCGGGGGGTAGGACTTCAATATCTTTTTCTGGGGGGAACACAATTGAACCAATAACAAATACTATGTCTTCCTCTAAAACTTTTTAATTGTCGCCTGTTTTCTACATAATGCTATTAGTGGAGAGGGGGCCCAGTTCGTGAAAGGAGGTCTGCTTTGATTTGCCTACTTCCCCCCAGCTCCCCACCTCCTCATCAGGGGGCGTCTTTTAGTAACCATAAATCTAAAATAACAGAATAGATTAGTCCCCTACTGTTAATCGTGCTTTGATTTCTGTTTGATGAATGAATTTTGATTTCTATTTTTAGTGACAAAACAAGGTATCTTTCTTAGCTAAGTGCATGACTTAGCAGGTTTACATGATGTTTGTGAATTTATTGCCATCAGTGTCCAGTTTCCCACATAGAATAACTTCTGCTAACCACTTGAATACCTGGAAGGTACCCACCAATCAGACTTCTTTTAAAGCACCAGATATGGACTCTTGCTAATTGAAGGAGAAGATGAAGAAGAGGAAGAAGAGGAAGGAGAAGGAGAAGACGAAGGATGAGAAGGAGAAGAAGAAGTAGTAGTAGTGTTAGTAGTAGTAATAGTAGTAATAGTAGTGGTATTAGTAGTAGTGGTATTAGTAGTAGTAATAGTAGTAATAGTGGTGGTAGTAGTAGTAGTGTTAATAGCAGTAGTAATAGTA